TGAAGGATGTGGAGGCACTGGGTGAGCCACCACCCACCTCAGGCTGGCACCAGCCCCAACAGCCACGAGCTGGTGCGGGGCCAAGCAGCTGGAACTGCACAACCCCAGCTCAGTGCCCATACCGATAATTCTGGCGTACGCTCCCTCCCAGGCATGAGGCTGAACTTCACCATCGACAATGGGAAGATCCACAACGTGTCACTGGGGCAGGGCCAGGAGGTTGTGGCAGAACAGGCCATGGAGGTGGCTGCTGAGCAGGGCCACTGGGTCATCCTACAGGTGGGTGGGGGGCACTGTGGTGCACCACAGGACACAGCCCTGACAGCAGCCGGGCACACCAGGGCACCCAGCCCTGCCAGTATCCAGTCACACAGTACACAGTCACCCCACTGGTGATGGCAGTGACACTGCCTGGGCCAGCTGGGTGTATCCAGCCCAAGTGGTGTCCTGTCATGCTGCACCTTCTCCCTGTGGAGCAACAGTAGGAATTTGGCGGGGAGGGGAGGTGAGATTCATGAGGTACAGGCTGTTCCTGTTGCAGAACATCCATCTGGTGGCCCGGTGGCTGGACACACTGGACAAGCTGGTGGAGCAGCACAGCATGGACAGCCACCCCGAGTACCGGCTGTTCATGAGCGCCGAGCCGGCCCCCAGCCCCGAGTCGCACATCATCCCACAGGGGCTGCTGGAAAACTCCATCAAAATCACCAGCGAGCCGCCCACCGGCATGCGGGCCAACCTGCACAGGGCCCTCGACCTCTTCTCCCAGGTACCCCCCGCACCACCCCCCGCCCTTCCACAGCTGCTCCTCGGGACCGTTCAGGCCAGTGTGTCTGGCTCATCCCCTCCCAGGGTTCCACAGGCTGAGCATCTTTGGGGGGTGTCACTGCAGCCAGAAACACTGCACCCCAAGCCAGACCCCCCCCGGGACATCCTCCTGTAGTGCCCAGAGCCCCCATTTGCCAGGGTAACCAGAGCTGCCCGAGGGCTCCAGACACAAGGAAGTGCCAGGTTGCCAATGCCTTTCCTGAGACTGAACCTGGAGCTGCTGCAGTTTTAGCATGAACAAGATGCCTCAGCTGTCAGCAGGGCATTGGGGTGTGGCGTCCTGATTCTTCCGTAAACAAGTGCAAAAATTACCAACTAGCAAAGTATTAAAATACAATTTTATGCCTTTTTCTTTCTAATAAACACCTTCAGTTCTCTTTTGCCAATGAAGGTTCTTAACTAGAGGGGCATCTGATAGCAATATTCACCTGCAACCGCCCATCACTGTTCCCCCACAGGAAACACTGGAGCAGTGCAGCAAAGAGACTGAATTCAGGTGCATCCTGTTTGCACTCTGCTACTTCCACGCAGCGGTGGCCGAGCGGCGCAGGTTTGGCACCCAGGGCTGGAACAGGCCCTACCCCTTCAACAGCGGCGACCTGACCGTCTCCGTTAACGTCCTGCACAACTACCTGGAGGCCAACGCCAAGGTGAGGGATGACAAGGTGACCACTCTACACACAGCACACACTGCAACAATCAGCCTTTCTCAGAACCTTCACCAGTTTGCAGCACAAACACTGTCTCATGAAGAAGCCCAGGGCTGGCAGCAGCTCCTCCCCTGGTCCCCACACACTCAGGCAGGGGAAGGGGCTGAGTCCTTGGCCCCACTGAGCTGAGTAGAAAAAGGCATCAGGCACCAACTGGGACAACTGCCTGCCCTGACCTGTGCCTTGGTGCTTGCTGCCCGGAGAAGGAAGGTGTGGTGATCAGGGCTGAAGTCTCGCCCTTAGACCTGCCCTTGCAGACACAATTGATGCTGGTTGGAGTAAAGATGGGATGATGGGATTCAAAGCACAGACAGCTGTGTCCATGAGACAGGGAGAAATCTGTGGGTGAACAAGAGACACTCCAGATGAGATCCTGTTCTCTGTCCCTGAGCCTCTGTGGGCCCAGGGACTGTCACCTCCCTGCACACTGGACAGGTCAGTCCCAGAGCTGTCACTCTGCGGCCCTGCTGCTGCATGGGGGACTCCAGGGGAGCTGCACAGGAGTTCCAGCTCAAGCCTCTCCCCACAGGTACCATGGGATGATCTCCGGTACCTCTTTGGTGAGATCATGTACGGAGGGCACATCACTGACGACTGGGACCGCCGGCTGTGCCGCACGTACCTGAGCGAGTATGTCCAGCCGGAGATGCTGGAAGGGGAGGTGCTCTTGGCTCCAGGGTTTCCAGTCCCTCCCCGCTTGGATTACCAGGTAAGAAAGACAAACATTGCAATTTGCTATGGAAAACCCCTGCTCTGGATAAATGCACACGAGTCCAAGTTCCCCCTCGTTCACTAAGGGGTATGTAGGGAAAGAGAGTGTCAATCCCCTGGAACTAGGATTGCTGTAAAAATAATTCCTGTGGCTGGGGCAGAAGGGTGGGACATGAGTGAAAAAAAATAGCCTCCATGAGCACAGGCAGGTGCTGCAAAGGGCCCCTGAGGGCAGTGATGGGTTTTCAAGGCTGCAGGGAAGTTTGGGCTCCTTTGCCTGTACCTCCTGAGCTAACACTGGCCCTGCCCTGCACTCAGGACTACCACCAGTACGTCGATGACAACCTGCCAGGGGAGAGCCCCCACCTGTACGGGCTGCACCCCAACGCAGAGATGGGCTTCCTGACCGTCACCTCGGACAGGCTCTTCCGCACGGTCCTGGAACTGCAGCCCAAGGAATCTGAGGCTGGTGGAGGCACGGGTGGCTCTCGGGAGGAACAGGCATGTCAAGTCCTGTCTCTTTACAGCAGAAATTAATTGAGGGGTTTTTTTTTAATCTGTGGTTATTTTTATTACGGAGAAAAAAAAACCCTCTTAATGGTGACAGCTGAGAGGTCAGGGGTGGGGGACAGATGCAGGCCCAGAAACAACAGAGAGAGCAGGACTCATAACAATCAGGAAGGGGTGGTAGAAGGAGGTGATTCCAGCCCAGCTGTGCTGAGGCTGTCAGCCCAGGGACAGTGGCACGTACGGCAGCTGCAGCGCAGTCAGGAAGGTCCTGCTCTGATGGGGTTGAGATGCGCCTCTGGCAACATGTGGCTTACATGGGGCTTCTCAGCAGGTGGAGAGAGCTGAGGAACCTCCATTCATGATGGCAACTACTAAAAATACAAATTTAAAATATAAAATAAAATTAAAAAAAAAAAAGGCTTCTTCCTGACTGCCTGGACCTTACATGTGAGTTTCACAGTCTCCATGGCCTCAGCTCTGACTTCCTTGGCTATCAAAAAAGAGCTACAGCTTTTAAAGAGCCAAGAGCAGTTAGAAACAGAATGGAGCATTAGTAACAGAGGAGGCAGCACAGGGAAACACCAAGGCAGAAAAAGAAAAATCTTACCAACCTAATTAACCATAACCCTGCAGCATTTTTCCCTGGGTAAGAGCAGTTTATGGCATTCTCATTCCAGGTGAAGTCAGTCCTGGATGAGATCCTTGGGCAGCTGCCAGAGCCATTCAATATGGAGGAGCTGATGGCAAAGGCAAAGGAAAAGACTCCGTACACGGTTGTTGCCCTCCAGGAATGTGAGAGGATGAACATCCTGACCAATGAGATGAGGCGCTCGCTGAAGGAGCTGGACCTGGGACTGCAGGTATGGAGCAGGCAGCTGCCTGGATCATTTCCCAGGATTTCCAAAGCACTGTGTGCCCTTGCTGGAGCTCTTACCCATAGCACTGTGGTGGGTGTGGCCAGGTGGCCTCAGGCTCCTGCTCCGCTCCAGTCTGAGCCCAAGCACATCCCTCTGCCTGTCCCACCACTGGCTGCAGGTGCCACTGCTCAGGCTTTTCTCTTTTTCAAAGGGAGAGCTGACAATTACATCAGAGATGGAAGAGCTGGCAAATGCTCTCTTCTATGACAGCATTCCAGAATCCTGGACACGTCACGCTTATCCCTCCCTCCTCAGCTTGGGAACCTGGTATGCGGACCTGCTCGTGCGGATCAGGGTGAGCAGAGTTCATGTGATGAACTCAGTCAGAGCTCAGGGCGCAAGTGGGTACTGCTGACACCAGAACTCTCCCCACCAGTGCACTGGTTTATTGCTAACTGGTTTATTTCTCAGTATCACTTTAAGCAGCCTGAAGTACCTGAAAGGGGCTGTTCCCCCAGGGATGAGAGCACAAATCTGATCACTGTTCCCATTACAGTACATCACTGTAGCAAAAGAGCATCAGCTCCCCCCATCACAACTCTGGGTGTCCCCCCCAAAAAAAATATTTAATAAAACTGGCTTTGTTAAAAAGTAACAGTGGTATTTCCTGCACTGCAAATTCACCTTCATTGCTGCAGGGGAATCTGCTGTTTATTCATCCCACACCACCTCCAGCCAGTCCCCTACTCTGTAAGATTACCTGAAGCTCGGGTTAGGCAGTGAAGTGTCAGCTCTATCCCACTGTTCCTGGTGCAGTGTCCTGCGGTTCACAGCCCACCCTCCACCCTGAAGGACTCTGCTGGTTTATTTTCCAGGAACTGGAAGTCTGGGCAACAGACTTTGTGCTGCCTGCAACAGTGTGGCTGGCAGGATTCTTCAACCCCCAGTCCTTCCTCACAGCCATCATGCAGTCCACAGCCAGGAAAAAGCAGTGGCCACTGGATAAGATGTGTCTGGCAACGGATGTGACCAAGAAAACCCGGGAGGACATAACATTTCCACCTAGAGAAGGCTCCTATGTGCACGGGCTGTTCATGGAAGGTAAAAACTGCATCTTTGAGATGTTTCAGACATGGAGCAGGCCCAGCTCAGCCCTTCTCCCTCCTGCAGCAGAGCAGGTGTTGGCACTTGCTGGCCGATCTGCCCTGCCCGGCTCTAGCGGGGGGCAGAGTGCAGAGCCCTGGCTCCAGGCTTAGACACCAGGTGAGGGCAGCACTGCCCGGATCACGCAGCCTTTACAAACCAGAAACTCGTGTTTTTGCCATTCAGGCTGCAGCTCATGAGCCCCAGGGCTGGGGTGGTTGGAGCCACAGGGCTCTAGTGATTAAATATGTCACATTCTTATTTGATGTATGAGTAAGACAAATAGGAAAACTCAAACCTATAATAATTACTGCTGAAATGAAGGGGAAGGAGGCAGTTCAGCAGAGGAGCTGAGGGGTCCGCTTGGACAAGAGCGCAGAGCACACAGGACAGTGTGTGGTAGATCCCACCACAGCCAGTTCACCTTTAGCTCTGCAATTCCCATGCAAAGCCGTGCTGAAGGGAGGGGTGGGGACAGAATTTATTCAGACATCCCACACACAGTAAGGCAAATGCAGTCCTGGGTCACAGTGAGTTGAGGACACGTCAGCCCTAACCACTACTGAGCCACTCTATCCACCCTTCATCCTCCAGCTCCCACCCATCAGTAGTTCTGAACAAAGCCCCTGGTGAGAAGCCCGGGGCAGCTGTGAGGGTCACCCAACGCCGCTGTCACGTTGCAGGTGCGCGCTGGGACGTCGCCTCGGGGTCGATTGCTGACGCGCTGCTGAAGGAGCTGACGCCCACCATGCCGGTCATCTTGCTCAGAGCCATCCCTGTGGACCGCGTGGACACCACCAACGTCTATGAATGTCCCGTCTATAAGACACGGATGCGAGGGCCCACCTACGTCTGGACCTTCAACCTGAAGACAAAAGAAAAAGCCGCCAAGTGGGTCCTGGCTGGTGTGGCTCTGCTCCTAGAGGCCTGAATTTTAATGTCAATGGAAAACAGCAAATGCTTTTACTTGTAAAAGCCTCCAAGTTGTGTAATTCAGAACCGTTTTAGCAAAGTATCAATAAAACCAGTGCTGGCAGCGCTGCCGTGAGGACCCTGCTCTTGCAGCACACGGGGTTCTCAGGGCGGATACTGGTTTTCCACTGGTGGTTTCTGACGCGGCGCTGGTGGGGAGCCAGACCACCGTGGGAAGCCAAACGGAACAGCTGCACACAAGTGGCCGACTCCTTTCCCTCTCCTGGCTCTCTGTCTTCCCACAGCTCTTTGTGTGATGGCTCAGTGCAAACTGAGCAGAAACTCCTCACGCCCCAGGCACAGAGCACGTGTCTGGCTGGAGCAGACAGGAGAAGAAAGGTGCAGGTTTAGCCGAGTTCACCCGTGCTCCACCTCCACAGCCCAGAGAAGGTCCAGCTGAAAACAGGTCGCTCTCTGAGGTACATTATTTCCATTTCTAGGGTACAGAACCTACTCTGCCCTTTCTTTACAACAAATCATTTGTATCAGCAGTAACACACGTTAGGGCCAAGGCCTGTCCCTTTAGCATAAATCAATTCACCAAAATCCCACCCTGTGAAATATTTGAACAATTAGTACTAAAATACAGTTGCCTAAAGCTTCCCTCCCAGCTCATGGTCAGAGAAGCCCAAAGGGCAGGCACGGAGAGCTGCTCGTTTCTTTATAGAGCAGCAGCATTTATTAGCAGTTACCACCGAGCTTCACACTTACCATCAGCCTTTCTTAGGAGCCAGAAATTCTGTTTGTGGCACTATCAGATCAGAACCCCCTGCTCATACCCCACCAGTGACACAGAGCAGCCCCAGCCTGCGCTCTCACATGTTTTTACCTGGCTTCCAACCACTTTCTTTTCAGGATGTTAGGGTTCGAGCCTCCCATTTTCAGTAAGTAACATCCTAAACTCACATGAGCACCAAAAGTCTTCTTCTGTCCCTCCACAACTCATGAAAGACACTTATAACATATCTGAATGTAAAGGAGTCAGGCACACTCCACCAAGGGGGAGGCCACAGTTAGGTGAGTAAAAGGGATATGGGAACACGCAGCATCCTGGGCACACACACCAGTGCCAACTGCATAGGAACAGTCCAAGAGCCATGTCCTGAAGCTCAGAAGGGCTCGAGTCATGGGGCAGTCAAAGAGCCAGGAAACCCAGGCTACCACAAAGCAGAAAAGCAAAACCAACCTCCCTTGTTAACCAACACCTACAGGGGCAAAGCAAAGCTCTGACTGGATACAGGGACAAAACATTTTAGGTATTCCAGCAACGTTTACTATTGGCTGGTCAAGATAAAACAAACACAGTCCTTCTCCACAAAACTTTGAAAGGGACATTTCAGAAATAGGAGTTTTATTTCCATGCATGGAAAATACCCCCGTATGGGTCATGGGAAATAACCCTGTATGGGTTCTCTGTCGGTGACCCTTCCAGAAGTTTTAGTAGATGAAACTTAATCTGGACCTCAGCACAGCCCAATCCATGGCAGTCAGTATCTCAGAGGAAATGAGAGGTGCCTGGTTTTCCCCACATCATCTGTGTGTCCATTGTCTCTTTCTTCCATGTAACAAAGCACTACAGCTATTCACTGCAGTCAGTGCAATATAAATTCCCCATAATGGCAGCAAACTCACCCAAAGCAGCAGCTTTTCTTCTTTCAAAAGAAATTCTTGATCAGAGGTGTCACCAGCTTCACCCACAGCTTCACATAACGATTTGGCTGCTCAAACGTTGACGTTGAGACCACACCTGAGCAGAGGTAAAGCTGTTCTTGCTCCTAAACAGGGAAAGAAACATCATCGCAGTAAATCTCAAGTGTTGAATTATATAACGGTCTTTAAGAGAAGTGAATTCTCATATAGAGCTGGCCAGGGATCCTGCCAAAAGGCTGCATCATTTCTCCTCAAGAATTAGCAATTTAAACTCTACAGAGAGCAAGGGCAGAGGGTTTTGCCTTTTTGTGCCCCACAGTTGCAAGAGTTGAGCTTCAGTTTCAGAAAACTCCTCAATCCCTGGCTGTAATTGCCAGAAGAGGAAACCTCACCCAAACCTCCCGGGACCGGCTTACGCGGCTCTTTCTAGACACAGCTCAGGCGCCGCGTTCTCAGATGAATGTGCAGTCGTGATCTCAGCTAAATTACCAGAAACACTCGGGCCCCCGCAGCATGTACCGGACTGCTGAGGGAGGAAATGAACCACCCTGATGATAACACACGCTCACAGCACGTGAGAGCAGCGCTTTGATCACAGGTGAGCGGGTTTGTTAGCACAGCCAGTCAGGTTTCAGGACCTGCAGGCAAACAAGGAGCAGAACAGGTCCTGGAAGTCTGTTCATCGTCTTTTTTCATTAGTGAAGCTGTCACAAACAGCAGAAAATACTCTGCACTACTTAAATTCAGGGTAGAACAGGTAAGCAGGAACCAAGCACCGGAAAGTAACACCAAAAAGATGAACCAACAACAGAAGGAAGACATTCATGTGCTAATTCACCCTAATTTTAGAGCCTCAAATGCTCCAAGAGCTATAGTCAGCCCTGCTGTGCAGATTCTGCTCCACAGCCACGCAATACAGTGAGGACTGAGCTGGAGGCAAGGCCAGTTCCCTGAATCAAGCTCAGTCCATTCAGAGGAGCATCCAGACACCCAGACCACTCACATTTCTTCCCAAATCTCAGCACGCATTTTTAAAATGGAACTAAATGTTACACAGACAAAGTGATTTCATGGCAGCATCCCAGAAACAGATTAAGTCTTCTAAAAAAGACCACAGAAAGTAAACACCCAGCCCATCTCAGAATCAGCTTCCAGCAATCGGGAATGGTTTAAAGCCCTTTGAATGAGATCACTGCAGCCCTGTGTGAGAAAATTCCTTTGTGTCACATTTCCATTGATTCTCCCCTTCCATTAGAAACAAGCAGAGGCAAGATATGAACTGAAATATTCAAGCAACTCTTCCAGTAATAGAATCGTTTTTGATTAGATACACTCTGACTCATCCCGGGGAAGAGCCCTGATGCAAGAGGGCAATTCCCATTGATCTTGCAGACAACTCTGCCAGGACCTGCCTCACAGAGTGCATTTCTGAGGTCCCCAGGTCGCACAGAGGCACCAAATCGATCTGCTTTGTTGCAGAGCACTACAGGAGAAACAACGTGGGACAGACAGTTCTAGCAGAAGATTCGGAGTCAAGACAGTTAGAGAGCCAGGCAGGATTTGGAGCAGGACCAGAACTGCTGAGCACTCTAAGCTGCCTAATTAAACTAAAAACAGCACAGAAAAACCCTGGGACACTGAACATCAAACCAGTGAAAAATTATTGTGTCAATATTATATAATGTCATATTATTATTCAAGATATGAATTATGTCATAGAACTTCATGAGCAACCCAAACAGCTCAGAAATCCTCTTCTAGTCCAAGCTCAGCCATTCCAAAAGCCTGGCCTCATTACCTCAGAGCACAGCACAGCCTTGGCAATGCCCAAATGTTGGGATTAAGGCCCAGAAGGTGCAGTGTGGTCGGTGAGCAGAAGAGCCAGCAGGCTCTCTGAATGCTCTCTGCACATCCAGCCCCGAGCACTCCCAGTATCCAAGGTCACTGGGGACACACATTCCTTCCTGTTACAGCCTCGCTTCCCAGCACTGGGCACTCACAGCAGGCAGCTCATCAATAGTCACTTCACTGACAGTTCCTCAGGACTCCTCACACTCCAGCAGCTTTTGAGTTATTATAGCTGGATGTTTTTATTGCCACTGCATCATCAGCGTTCCCTGTGTGACCCAGAAGCACAACATCCCCGTTGCCTCCCCAGAATCCACTGCTTACCTGATGGAGCTGCTGCTGCAAGGCTTTATTTTCTGTCACTATCGCAACCTGGGCTTCCAAGTCACGATGAACTGATCGATACCCAAAATTCGGAGAGCCGATCAGGGTCAGGCAGGGCAGGTCACTCCCTGCCAGGTACAGCCAGAGGCCTGTGGTAAAAACAAGAGGAGAGGCAGCGTGGCAGCCTGAGGGGACAGCCAAGGTGGGCTCACACTGTCCCTTCACTCAGAGGGAATTAAACCCATTAAATGTGGATTATAGATTCTGTACAGGACCCCGAGAGCATCAGGCAGCCCAGTAGAGCCCACAGGGCCATGACACTGCATGTTACTCATGGGGTGCCAAGGCAAGGCCCAAACCCTGCCCCTCGGAGTGCCCTGACCAGGGGTGCAGCACCCTCAGAGAACCCCAAGGACACACTGTCCCAAAACAACTCAGGACAAGTCCCTGTCACTGCATTAGAGGCTGTTTTGCACCATGGTAAATCTCAGAAACACTGAAAGAAGACAAACAGCTTTTCAGTGAAGGAACCAGCCTCAGAGCCCCAGGTCTGTCCAGCCTGTCCCAGAGACCAACCACCTTCATGGGACTGTGACATGACCCTGCTCTGACAGGTGAATTCACATGAAATAGAGACTCAGAAGACAAGTGCAAATTATTTCACCACCTCACTTCCTGAGGAGCCACCGAGGATGAGATAAGACTCTTGCCAGGGCACCTGGTCCCTGTAGCCACTCACCATCACAGCTCCCACAGCTCTGCCCGCACAGAGAGCAGTCAGGACACAGCCCAGGATGGATTTTCAAGGCAAAGATGGAAACAACACATTATTCTCAAACACACCACTGCAGCAGGGCAGGAAGGAACAGCCACAGGAGAGCCGGGACTGCTGCCAAGAAGAGGCTGCATGGCCACTCTGTGCACAAATGGAGCCGGGAAGCATTTGCTCTCCTCAGCACAGCCCTGGGTGGGTCCCTGGTAGAGGCTTATCCCCACGGCCAGTCACAAACTGCAACAAAGAACCCTTAGCATAAAAACCGCCTCAGCCTTAAAATAGCAGCAAGTTTCCTAACTCAGCCCCAGAGCAGTTCCAAGAATGCCTTGAGTAAGACGCTGCCGATTCACCGCCAGTTCCTGTAACCTCCTCCCCGCCCCCACAGCACACACTCACAGAGCTGGCACTGCCCTAAGGCCACAGCACCCCCGGCCCCCGCGGGCTCACCCCACCACAGAGGGGCCGGAGAGCCCATTGTGGGCTCCAGGAGCCACAGGGAAGCACTCGTGTGGCACAGAGATTTGGCATGTTCTGTCACCAAACAGGACCCTACCAGGAGCTGTTTGGTGCCTGACCAGCTGCTGGCCGGACCTCTGCCCAGGCAGTAGCCACAAGGAACAGGTTCCTCGCCTTCCCAAGTGTCCTGTGGCGCTGTTTTTATGGCCACCTGGCAGGATCTGCTCAAACAGTGACTCACCTTTCCAGAAATGGGAAGTGCAGCTTCCCAGCACCAGTCAATAGCAGTAACAGGGTTTATCTCTCAGCACAGAGCCACCTGTCCAGCACTCTGCCACCAACACTTGCCTAGAAGAGACCCTGAACCCAAGGGACATACCCATGTCACTCACACCACCATACCTGGGAACACAGCAGAGCACAGGTAGGCTTCAGGGTGTCACAGCAGGACAGCTGCTGGCAGTCCTGCTCACACGTGCACCATGGCTGTGCAGTGCTCTGCTACACCTGCACGGTGCTGTCCCACCTGTGCTGAGCTCTGCTCCACCTGCACTGCACTGCTACACCTGCACAGCACCGAACACACCCAGGACAGTCATCCCTGAGGACAGACATCCCTGGGGACATGCCATTTGATGCTGTGTGTGCAGATATAAATGCTTTAAGGGGAGCAGGAGGGGTCTGCAGCACAGCTACAGCGTTTAAGGTACGGCAGCTGGATCCTGTGGGAGACTAAAGGGTGCCTCAGCCCACAGAGAAAGCACCAATGGGCACTATTGGCTGCTGGGGATCTCATGTCCTCGGCCAGAAGCCAGGTTCCATGTGCTCCATGTACACCTGCTCTTCATATCTCCAAGGTTTCTCCCTTCCTTCTTCCATCCTTGTCCTCTCTGCCACACACATCATGTGACTCCTGCAGAAGGAAACCCAGTGAATAAAGCATGTGCCAAGTGCAGAGCATGCCAGAGAAGGAGCTACACAATGATCCTTCCAGCACTCTGAAGAGGAATGAAAACACAAAGCAAATGTCTCCAACTGTCCCCCTGCCAGGCACTGGAGCCGCTGAACTCCAAGCCCTGCATCCCCCTCCCAGCGAACACCACACAGCAGAGAGAGCCCAAAGCACTACCCCAGGAGGCACTGCTGGCCCAAACAGGACCAATGGCCACACGCACTTTGGTAACTGAGAAAAGCAGCCCATGCTTCCGAGCTCAGTCCACGCCAAATCACATCCCACCAGGAGTCAGCGATGCCCAGCAAACACGGAACCCGCAAACCACAGGTCGCTCAAACAAGTGCTTCCTGGAGGACATGGGACACCCCAGCCGGGCAGGCAGGCACCTCCCTTGGGCTGCCCTGCCTGAGACAAGGGTTTCCTTGTGCTGAGTTCCCAATAGCACTGAGGAGGAGCACGACACCCTGAGATCTGTTTGTGGTTTCAACACAGAGGCAGCCGGTAACACCTGTGGATTTTCAAGTCAAGAGAAGGCTGACTCAGCAGCTTTCCCTCCCCACCACCTCTGAGCCTTCCCCTGAGTATCCATGTGGGAAGCAGGGAGATGGAGGCATTCTCACAACCATTAAGAGCTGCTCTCCAAAAGAGGAACCTCTCCAATGACAGTCAATCACAGCCAAAACGCTCTTATCCCAACTCAAATGCTCCAGTTCACAGCCAAACACTCCAATCAAGCACTGTGTTGAGCCTGTGAGAGCTGGGCACACTGTATCCAGCAGGAATGTGGGGTTTCCTACAGAAGACCCCAAGGACAGCATTAAGTCACTGCATCTGCTAGTCCATGTCCCTTCCTCAGCCCCTTCCCCTCTGGCTGCCCTGACTCTCAGATGCACACTCTGCAGTTCCTCACACACCACATCCCCTGTGTGCCATGCACAGGAGCTGCAACAAATCCCCCAGACTGCTGCCAAGGGAACACGGTGGCCAGGACTGCTGGGGTGGTCCCAGGAGCAGCTCCCCTCCTGCCCCTGTCCCAGATCCTGCTCCAGGGTCCCCAGCAGAGCCTGCACTTCTGACTGCTGAAACCAGACCAAGGGACATGAGAAACTGCACCACAGCCCTGACTGCATCATGAACACATCCAAATGCTTCCTTTTGCATCATGTTTCTCATCCAGGCAGTGCCTCAGTGCCACCAACGGGACAGCTCTTGCATCATCCCTGGGACTGTATCAAACCAGAAATCCAGAGGCAAGGCGTGACTGCACAGTTGTCCCCCCAGCAATCCAAACCCTCCAGGTTTACGCAAGCAAGTTGTTCGGACCTTGGAGGAGTGTTTTGAAGGTTAAGCCCAGACTGGCACCCAGCCAGCCCCTCACTTCTTGCGCAATCCAAACACGCAGCTCTCACACACCTCTGAAAAAGTCCCCTTGGGACAAGGACATCTTACCTTTGGCATGGAACGTCCACCCGGCACGGGAGTACTCCTGCAGCTGCACCCTCTCCTGCTGCTGCAGGTAGCAGACCTCGCTGTAAAACTGGTGTTCAATGTAAACATAGGCAGCAGGGATGGCACCTGCCACCCCCTTGGCACCAAAAAACCCATTGACCTCTGGCGAGGCCAGGAGGATCCGGTACTCAGCCCTCGTGCCCAGGATGAGGTCCATGTAGGCCTGAGTCAGGTTGAAGTAGCCAGTGGTGAGGTATATCCTGGCATCCCGCTCAGCCTCGGTCAGCAGTGTCTCTGTGACCATCTCATCTATTTGAATACCAAAAGGTTTCATTTGGATCAAGGGATAGATCCAGGTGTCAGGTTCTGGTTTCAGACCCCCAGATGCTTGAGAGCCTTGCTGGGATAACAGAGAGCTGCCTGGATGGCTGCTGTGGAAAGTCTTTGCATGAAGGAGCTCTTGCCGTGTCCGGGCAGAGTTGATGACCTCCATGACCCTCCGGTTGGCAATCTCGCAGTAAGCCACCTTGTCTCCTGCAGGAAAACCCCGAGAGATGGTGTCTGAGACCGACAGGCACAGAGCTATGTGTCACCTATTACATACCAGGAAAAATACTGACAGGACACCTATACGGGAACAAACAGGAGCCAAAACAGAGCGGACACGACTTTCTGCCCTGAGGCCCAAACCAGCTGTTTCAAGGTTGGCAGAGCTACGCCACAGAAGAGAAATATTCAGCAACTGGCAGCAGCCTGAAAAATCCTCTGAGGAAGGAAAGGATCAGGACAAGGCTAAACTGGCAACAAAGAATGAGCTGGAACACACAAAGAAACCCCCACCCCCAGACTAAGCTTACATCACCCAGCAGTGCAAGGCCAGGACAAAACCTGATGACGCAATCAGCCTGGCACATCGCTGCTCTTCTCTGCCCGCTTCTACGCTTGTTCCCGGTCTTCCTGATCCAATTCCCATTTGATTCCAGGAACAAAGTCTACTACAAAACATTAACTGCCAACAATAGCACCACATTCATGAACTGCTCAGAACACATACACCCAGAACACCCGAAACTGCAGCCGCTAATATCAGAAAAACCTCTCGGGGAATTGAAGTTCTTGTTTAAGGCCAAAAGCAGCACATTTATGAGGAAGCACTGAGACAGTTGCAGAGTTACTTCCAGCCTCTGCATGCCCTGCCAGATTAGCCTGTGATAGCCACTGTGCTGGGAAAACTCTGACAGACCCAGTCTTGAAACTTGAGCAATTTTGATTTTAATACTGGATGGCACAAAACAGGAAACCCCACAATTTGAACAACGGTCGGGTACCCAGAAATTCCCAAGCGGATGGAGTTCAAGGCATCCTTAAACCCCAGCTGTCACTTCCTTCCTCTGGATACCATCACTCAACCAGGTGAGACAGCTCTCTCCTACCTTGGTATGGGTGTACCATTCCCTCCATCATCTGGACTGTATCATCCCTCTGCAACTGCAGGGACACATCTCCAATTGCATCCACAAGCTCTGTGAAGAAGTCTGCAATCTCTGGAGAGTCCTGCAGCAGGACATAGCGGTCCTGCCGATTGGTGAAGTACAGATCACTCAGGTTTGCGCTGAAGAGAAAGGGAAGAGCTGAGTTCAGAGTATGGGCACAGGATCCTCAACCCTCCAGCCCAGGCTACAAGAGATCTTTCTTTTTTCCCTTTAAGAAAGACTCTCTTTCATCTGAGAATCTCATACAGAAGAGCTGCAGTTGCTCTCCCATCTCAGAAAAGCAGTAATAGGATCACGGTGGAAAGTCCAGATGTTCAGACAACTCTGGCAGCACAGACACCCTGCCCAAATCCCAGCAAAAGGAACCATGCCAGGGCCGGAGGCAGCAGGACTCACCCGCTCAGGATCACATTGTCATCAAAGAGATACACCTTGATGTGCTGCAGCCCAATGGTCTCATTGAAACGCTCTGGAATCAGGAGCCGGAGAAGTCCACGCAAGTTTGGGGTGTGGAAGAGGGACACACGGACTTTCTCGGGAAATCGCTGCAGCAACGGGATCAGCATTGTCCGAGAATTCTTCCTGCCTGGGAGAGAAGGGGAGTTTCACACAAGGATCACACAGATGGGACACATCATGGCACAGCTCCATGTTGCAGTTACAGGGTGAGCACCCATCCCATTCCATCCTATCTGCTGGCATCCTATCACTGGTTTTCCCTTTTTTTGTTTTTTTTTAACAAATCACTTTCATTTGCACTATGTCAATATTGAAAGCAACATCCAGAACTGTAAGTTCACGGATGAATGGGCCTTAGAATCAGTCACAGAGCACCTCTGACACCTTTCAAGCTTCTTAATCAAGCCTCACCAGCCCTGGTAACTCATCTGCAAGTCACTGCAGAGGTTCCTGATTCGGTGTGCTGCTTCCAACAATTCCAACAATTCCCACTCTCCTTTCAAAATGAAAATGTTAGTGAGCATGAGGTATTAAGGGCAAATGCACTGAAAGTGAACCAAGCAAGAACGCATAAGTTGCCCAGAGCAGTTTGGCCCTTCTTGCTCCTACCACCTATTTTTGGAGAAAAGCGGCTCAGCTTGAAGATTTTCTGGGAACGTCCAGCTCTGGAATGCAAAAGGCAAATACTGAAAGGTGCATGATTTAAACAAGTATGTCCAATTGGCCAAGACAGCCTCTATGAAAAAAACAGTTCCTCCAGCCTAACAGTAAAATCAGGCTCTGACAAAAGCAAAGCACAATTCCTACCCCGGGAGCCCCTGGTGTAGTCCAGGAGAATGGAAACTCTGAGGTCAGGCGAGCCTTTTGCTTGCAGGGATTTCTCCAGCGTTTCTTCTAAGCAATCCACCTGCAGAGAGAGTTCTCTCCTCATTACAAAAGCAAATAAAGCTTTGCAAGAGAAGTGCTCAGCAGCAGGAGACTGTGGCCAGGACAGCTCCCACGCCCTGGTGTGAGTCCTTCCTTCTTGTGCCAAACACAGCCGGTTCAGCCTTTGCCTCTGCCAGCCTGGCAGCTTCAGCAGCCTAAAGCCACAGATCAAAGGGCCTCAGTTTTACATGCCCACATTTTTCAGGCCTCCCAACAGCAATTAATATTAGCAGAAAAAATCCCAACATCATTCCCAAATCACAGATTTGCATCACCAAAGACAAACCTTGGTAGGAGTTCACTGAAGAGGCCATTTTATTCTTTAACTACAAGGCTGTTTGTCACATGCACATTCAAATCCTGTGTGCAAGCCCAGGCAAAGCTGGGCACAAATTCTGTGTAGGCTCCGTCCACCTTTACCCTGCCAGAGAATTTGCATCCTAACACCAGAACCTGACCAAGGCCAGGCTTCTCCCTAAAGCCCTTGGCAATAATGATTTGTTTCCAGAGGGAAGAATGGAAAAGGCAAAGCTGACCTCAGTCTCAAATGCAAAAAGACAATCCTGAATCTGTGTTCTGCACCTGGAGCACCAAACACAACACTCTACACCTATAGCTTGAATCATGTTCAAAAAAATGCCAGGGAAAAACAGATTCCTATGACGCAGGTTCTGCAAAGCCCCCTGAGCACTACGAACACCAGGCCGGTCCCCTCTGACAGGCCCAGGCTCACTATCCCCTGAGGAAGTGCAGCAGTTCCCTGGCTCTGTACCAGGTCTAAACCAGAAATGCCTAGTGCCTCCCTTCCACATCCCTCCCCTGCACTCCCTTCCTGCCCTTCCCAAACCCCTCCACACTCACCAGCTCCTGCTCAAGGAGCCCTGTTCCCAGGTACAGTGAGGCCATCACCACCCGCTGCTTGGCTGCTTTGATCTGCACCTGGGAGTAGAAGAAAACAAGTTCAGTCTCCCGCTGGGTCCCAAGGAGCCATCGGCCCAGCAGTGCTCCAGGAGGATCCCTTCAGCCGCATCTCCACACTGGCTCTCCAGCCTCGAGGGAGGAAAGGGTGACACAGGGATAGGGATGACACAGGGGGCTCTGCAGAGCCATAGCAGCACCACTGCTGCATCCGAAATTCAAGGAAGAAATCAGTGCTTTCTGGGAAACTGAGGAACTCATTCCCTGCAGCTAAAACTATTCCATAAAAGAGCAGTTACCAGGCAGCAGCTGCAACACTGGGACTGTATCAAAACCATTCCCATAACTTGGAGCCCATGCCTTACCTTCAGGAGTTCATAGAATTCTGCAGGGGATGAAAGCACCTTGACGTGTGAGCTGGAGATCCCAAACTCTGGGACCAGATTCCCAATCCACTGGAACCTGTGTGCTCCTTCTGGACAGAGCGAACACGGTGGGGCTGTGATCACTGGAACAGGAGGGGTGAGCAGTGGGGCTAGAAGAAGCCATGATGATCTGTGGAAATAAAGATGGAGAAATTCTTTATGGTGGAGGCTTTGCTTCCCACAAAGCCTCCAAGGAGGTAAAGAAAGAGCCGCAGTCAGGGCCAATACATGGTAGGGATCCACAGTGGCAAGAATGCCTTTCCCTTTCCATAATCCCAGCAGGATCACCAAAGCCAAATGTGGAAACAGAAACACAGGCAAAAGATGGCAGAACAAATCTGAACATCACCAACTCTTTCCCCAAGCTGGCAGGGAGATGAGGAGAAACAACTCCTTCTTCAGGACAACACGGGAGAGGAAGGAGGCCGGGAGCTGCAGAAACTGAGGGTGTGGGGGCTCAGGTGTCTGGCGGTGCAGCAGTGGTACCACCTGTGCCTGTCATCAGCCACTTCTGAATCACCTCCATTACACATGCATCAGCTTGGCCATGGCCAACACTCCCCTCATGTCCAGCTTCATTCCCAGCTGGGCTGAAGTTGTTCCTGTTTTAGGTAAAGACGTTTAAAGATCACACTGCTCTAAAGAATAAAATGCCTCAATCCCTCAATTTTATCCAAAAATAGATCTGCAGCACACAAGATGCCTCAGTGCAAGCCCCAGCAAAGGCAGGGCAGTCACACCTCAAGAATGACCCACTAAAGGAGCAAGTGCATCACAGCAGTAACACACCAAGAACCACCACAGGGATCCATCCCTCTTCATCAATGCTGCCAGCATTCTGCACAGGTACAGAAGAGGATCATGACTTCCCTTGCAAACCTCACAAAACTGTGAGGGAAACAGCAGGAAGCTCATTCTTCAAAAAGACACTTCAGAACAAATTTAATTCTCTTGAAATCACTTCAGGAAAAAAACAGCTTGCTGCCAGCGTCACGCTGGAGGTGACAGGAAGCAAGTGGCAACTTGTCTCCAGAGGTTTCGCGCATGCAAATTCATCCAGTCATACAATAACCCCCAGCAGGACTCTGTCCACATGACAAAACCACATTTCAACACAATTAGCAGCAGCAGCTCCCATGAGATCCAGGAATCCATGAGCAAGGGACTGAACTGCATCCCCAGACCCAACAGGAACCGTTCCAGTCTGCAAACCCTGCTCGTGGGAGTCGGGCTTCTGGGGACAGAACTGGAGTGGCCGGTCTCACCCAAGGAACAGCAGGCAGCCACCATCCTGTGGCCCATCCTGATGATTCCATTGCCACCACACACCACAAAGAAACTTGATTACAACCTTTACCAGAACTTGTTACATGGAACTTTTGGGTTTTACCACAGTCCAGAGCCCAAATGACCACAGATTCCAGGAAGATGATTTCACTCATCTGGTTCATGATACAACCCTGGATCTTCACAAGATTTCCAAATACCCTTACAAGGAAACTAGTTTGCAGTGGTGTTTCCTGGAAAATCCACAAGTTTGTCACTGACTATTCATCGCCACCAAAATCTGAGTCAATCTGTGCAGGAATTCCTGGGATGGGGGGTTTCAACAGATCATGTGGACTGGGCTTGGCCTGCACACCCAGATGTGACACAGATCACCAGCACAAGCTGTAAAAAACAATGCAAATATCCCCTAAAAGGTGCCAAAAATATCGAAGCAGAACAGAAACACAAGAAATACCATTTTTCAGACACATTCTCTTCAGTCTCTACAGAACCTGAGTAGGACCTCTGACCATGTCACGTCTCACAGGCCACAAACAGGGAGCAGATTCCCACTGCTCCATCATCACAAGGCAGCACAGCACACAGAACTACAGGGATTCACACTAGATCCAGAAATACAGGTTTTTAAAATGCACCAAATGCTTGGCCCACAGAGCAGTGGCACAGTCAGGCTCTAACCTGGTCCCGTGGGTCACAAACAACATCCTCTGGAATTATTCCCAGTGAGGAAGCAGTGGCAAATTTTATGTATTTTACAATAAAAATCAACAGAGATGATATTGTCCTCAGTATGCCACTGGCCAATCCAATTACACTTCCAGAAGCCAGACCAGCAACCAAGCAGACACTTTCCAGAAACACGATTCCCAGAAGCCACCTTCTGGCAAGGACTATTGGAATTGCGAGTCCGACTGCACCTGCCTCCCTGTCCGTGGCCCTGCACCTGCCTGCCGTGGCCTGGGGCAGCTCTGGGGCAGCTCTGGGGCAGCTCTGGGGGCAGCTCTGGGGGCAGCTCTGGGGGCAGCTCTGGGGGCAGCAGGCAGCACTGGGCTGTGCTTGGAGTATTTGGGCTCTAGTTGGAGCGTTTGGAGGAACATCAACCTGCAGCACCAGCACTACTTTTGTGCTTCTGAAGGTTTGAGCCTTCAGATTAATTCTTTGCAGTTCAATTGATCCCCACTAATTCCATCCTCCAGATTTTTTTGTGCCTACAGAATTTACAGTGTGTCTACACTGTTCGATCTTTTAACCCAATACTGAAATTTACACCTTATTCAGCATTGAGCCTACTCTCTGTTAGAATTATCAGATAAATCTGTATTTTGCTCCAGCCACAGAACCACTGGCACAGCAACCAGCTCCCAAAGCAGCAGCTTCTACCCGCTGGTGACTGACATCAGCTCAGTACCCAAGTACCACCAATCCCTCCAACCACGCACACACATAACATTATGAAGAAATCATCAAAATTCCACACTGTGATAAACCAGGTTTCAGAGGAACAAAAAATGGGGCAGGGGGAGCCCTTCCCATCCCTACTCCACATCACTGAGGAAACTGAAAAGAGAAAACGGAACCAAAAGGAACCACCTCACATCACTTCTGCATAAAAAGCTGACCCTAAAAAGAAATGAGGGATTTTCTGGTGTGTGTTCTATTTTTAAAGACGTGGCTTTGGTACAGACACCCACAACGGAGCTGAAACTCTTATTCACTGTCAAACCTCATCTGCAGAGCCAGAGGTGAAGTGAAACTGTGGGACACGACGTTGTCCTTTCACCCACGCACACGGGGGGATCTACACTGCTGCTCTTTGAACTCAGTGGTCGCTTTCCAGGGCTCAGTCTCATTTGTCTGCACTAAAAATACTGATGAGACCAAGAGAGAGGTGTGGAAAGAATTTCCTTGGCTTAACCAAGAACACAGAGCATACTGATGATCCATCTCCTCCACCACCGTGGTGACACCGCCGGGCAGAGTGTCCCCTGCCCCTCGCCCCTCTCCGCCTGGCACAGCCCCGGCACAACCGGGACCGACAGCTCTTCTCGGCCCCTTTCCGCGTCTCGCCCTACCCGACCCCCTCGGCCCGCGCGGGTAGTGCTGCACCTGTGACAGCCGAGGGGAGCCTGGCCCTGGCCAGCGCCCGAGCGACAAGAACACAGGGAATGACGGGGAAATGAAGCTCAGCTGTTGCCCTAAGGGCGATCGGACAGTGGGGCGGGCTAAAGCGGGCTGCGGAGCAGAGCCGGACCCGACTCCGGGCAGGTGGAGCCAGGCCGCCCCTTTCCCCATCCGTAGCGTTTCCAAGGGGCTCGGCCGGACCAGAAAGGGGAAGCGGCGAGCGGGGGAGCCCCGGTAACGCGACACCTCCCGGCTCTGGGGGCAGCCGGCGGGGCCCGGCCGGTCCTTACCTGCGGGCGCGGCGGTCGCGGCCGCGGGAGAGGCGGTCAGAGAGGCGGCCGAGCAGCGCGGCCAGGCCGAGGCGGCCGCGGGGCAGCCAGGCCGGGGGCAGCCAGGCCGAGAGCCGCCGCCACAGCGCCGCGCCGCCCGCCGCCATCACCCGCGCCTTCCGCTTCCGCGCTGCCATGGCGACACCGCCTTCCGCTTCCGCCGCCGCGGCCTCGCCGCGCCCGCCCCGCCCGAGCCCGGCCCGCGGCTGCCGGGGGGCCCCGGCCCAGGCACGGGTCCAGGAGGGTCCGGGGGCGCTCGGAAAGGGCTCGGTGTCCGGCTGGGCCGGGACGAGGCTCCCCTGGTCCCCGCATACGTGGGACGGGCTCACGCACGGCCCGAACCGTGTCACCCCCAGGTCTCCCTTCTCCTCCCCCCGGGGCGAGCTCCGGCCCGGCCGAGAGGCTCCGAAAGGACGGACACGACTCCTGCCCGCGGCGGAACCGGCGCTCGCCGCCCCTCGGGACGGTGGCGGAGGGGAGCGCCCACACCCCCCCTACCCCCACCCCACGTCGGATTCGTGTCCCCCCACAGCGGGCAGGGCGAGGCGGAGCCCGGAGGCCGCAGGTCCCCCCGCCCGCTCCCGCCCTGGGGCCCCGGAGCCGCCCCGTCCCGCCCCCGGTGTCCCCTGCCCGCCCCGGCAGCGCTCCGGGGCTCGTTTGCATTTCAGAGCAGCCCGTTCGCCGCAGCCGCTTCCCAGAACTGCCGCGCTGGGTTGGTCCCTGCCGGGCAGCGGCGGCTCCTCCGGGGAAAATTAAACTGTTTAAAATAAACCCACGGACCGAGCCCGGGCTGTGTGCGAGGTCGTAACCAATGCCAAATGCAGAGAAACCGTGTGGGGAGGGGTACCCCGGCACCGCTCCACCCGCCGGGCACCGTCCCTACCGGGGGCAGGGAGGAGGGGCGAGGGACCCCCTCGGACAGAAGCCCGGGGGGGCAGCCAGGGCGGGGGGGCCTCGGTCCCGCCGGGCTCCACACCAGCCTACGTGGCCCCGCCGACGGGCACCGACCCCACGGATCGTCGCGGGGCTCCCGAAGCCGCCGCGGCCGCACGGAGCGGGGTTCGAGCGCGATGGCCGAGCCGCCGCGGAGCCGGGAGCCCCCGCACAGCCCGGGATTCCCCGTTGCTGCCCCGCGGGTCCCCCCCCGCTGGCGGCAGCCCGGCACGTTGGCCTGAAAATGAGGGCTGGCGACGTGGGGATGTGGAACCCGCTGCCTCACAGCACGGCGGCAGCTCCCGTTTCGGTGTAGCCCCCCGGTGTGACCCGCCCCCTCCCCTGTATCCCCATCCCCCGTCAGCAGAGCCCACATCTCTCGCCGGGGCCGGGGTCCGGGCCCCCAGCAGAGGCGGGGGGCAGCGGGGGCCCCCGGGGGGGCCGGGCCGGGGCTCTCCCTTTCTCCGCAGAGCGGGGCGCGGGGGGGGCGGGGGCGGCCGCCCTGCCCGGAATGGGCTGGCGGGGCCGGGGCTGGGGCCAGCGAGGCCGGGCCGGGGGCTGGCGGAGCAGGGGCTGGCGGGGTGCCGGGGGGCCGGGCCGGGCCGGGCGGGGCGCGGGCGGCGCCGCCGCGTTACAAGAAGCCGCGCAGTTCCAGGAACCCGAGGGCGGGCGCTGCGCCCGCTATAAGAGGCCGCCCCGGGCCGCCCCAGCAGCTCCGCCACCGCGCGCCGGTCTCGCTCCGCCGCCGGGACCGGCTCCCGTGCCCCAGGTATGGCCTCGGGAGAGATGGGACAGGGTCCTGGAGAGGGAGCGGGGACAGCCCGGCACCGGGGATGCCGGTACCTCCGGGGAGGCGATCGCCAGGGACCGGGGATGCCCAGGGAAGAGGGATAGCAGTGGATGCTGGCGCTCCGACGGGGCGACAGCCGGGGCCGGGGGTGCCTGTGCTGCTGGGAACGGACAGCCGGGGACTGGGGTTGCTGCTGCTGCCCAGAGAAGGGGATCACCGGGGATGGTGGTGCCTCAGCGGGGCGATAGCTGGTGACCGGAGGTAGCGATGTTCCCCAGGGAGTGAGAGCAGAAGACCGGCAGAAGCGGTGCCCCTGGCTAGGGGAGAGCCGGGGACGGAGAGCCGGGGAGCGGGGTTGCCGGTGCTGTGGGAAGGGAGAATCGGAGATGCCGGAGGACAACAGCCAGGGACCTGGCCGGTGCAGATGTTCCCGGGAAGGGAGAGTCGGGGACCGAGGTGCCGTGGCTCACCACTGTCTCTGCCGCAGGTGATGGTGTAGCAGCGGCTGCTGCTGGCAGCAGCACCCCGAGCACGCGAAGCTGGCTCCCTGCGCCATGGTCACCCACAGCAAGTTCCCCGCTGCCGGGATGAGCCACCCCCTCGACACCAGCCTGCGCCTCAAGACGTTCAGCTCCAAGAGCGAGTACCAGCTGGTGGTGAACACCGTGCGCAAGCTGCAGGAGAGTGGCTTCTACTGGAGCACAGTGACGGGCGGCGAGGCCAACCTACTGCTGAGCACTGAGCCGGCCGGCACCTTCCTCATCAGGGACAGCTCAGACCAGCGGCACTTCTTCACCCTCAGCGTCAAGACAGAGTCGGGCACCAAGAACCTGCGCATCCAGTGTGAGGGCGGCAGCTTCTCCCTGCAGAGCGACCCCCACAGCAGCCAGCCCGTGCCCCGCTTCGACTGCGTGCTCAAGCTGGTCCATCACTACATGCCACCCGCGCCCTGCGCCGTCCCTGAGCAGCCGGGGGGGGCCCTGCACCCCAAGCGTACCTACTACATCTACTCAGGTGGCGAGAAGATCCCCCTGGTGCTGAGCCGCCCGCTCTCCTCCAGCGTGTCCACCCTGCAGCACCTGTGCCGCAAGACCGTCAACGGGCACCTGGACTCCTATGAAAAGATGACTCAGCTGCCGGCCCCCATCAAGGAGTTCCTGGACCAGTATGATGCCCCCCTCTAAGGGGCCAGCAGAGCAAGGTCACACGCTACAAGCACAAGAGCAAGGGACAGGCACAATGCCCCACCAGCGTGGGAGCTCACAGGGCACGCCGAGCCTCTCCCTCTGGGAAGGAGAGGAGGGGGACTGGGGAAAGCCGCTGTGGGCCCAGGGCTGTGGCCAGCATAGCTGGGCACCTTTGGTGCTGGGGGGACCCCCGAGGAAGCACGACACCTCCTCTCCACAGGGAAGGGGGATGGCTCCAGCCGGACTGTGGAAGTTACAGTGAGCCCATTGGCAAAGCTCCTGTGGGCTCGAGTAGCCAGGATGGCTCCTGTGACACAGAGGAACGTGCACTTCGGCAGCCCCATCCTGGAGGTGTCCTGGTGAGAGCCCCTTCCGCCCCCAGGAACTAAAAGCACTGGAGCCCAGGAGTGCCTGATCGCTTTTCCTCGGTTTTAAGAGGAAGGTGTTTTTTGCCCATACTGTACTTTACCTCTTACTGCCTCCTTGTGGGTGGAAGCTCTTTTCACACCAGGCCCCAGACTTGGAGGTTGCTGCCTTTGTTCCCTCGTTGCCATTTTCCAGGGGACTAAGCCTTAATATTCTCCCTGTCCCGCAATCTGGGTTACTGCACATCATTTGGTGACGCTGCGTGATGAAGGTCCTGCTGATGTGAAGCCAGAGGGGAAGTGGCAAGTCCCAATGCTGCTGAATCCCACACAACCGTGTCTGCAAGGAGCACCCCGGGCCCTTACTACCAGGAGTTGCACCCCACCTCTGCCCAGCCGCTCCCACAGACCCCGGCCACGCTGCTCCGTGTGGCACCGATTCCCGCAGGAACGTGGCGGGAGGATCCCCTGGAGCGTGTCGTCTCATGAGTGCTTTTCTGCATCCACCCAGAGAAGTGGTTGGGTTTTTCTGGCTTTTTTTTTAATTTTTATTATTTTTTTTTAACCAAAGGGATGTTTACAGGCCAACGTGAATCACTGTCTTTTATAAAGATTCCATCTTCACCTCCAGCCTTGAGGGCTGAGCAAAACCATGCTTGAAAATTCAACCAAAACCAAACTCAGATGAAACTTTGCACATATTTATATTTATATTCAGAAAGGAAATGTTTCCATAATTTATAATAAAGAGCACTATTTTTTAAAGAAAAACCTCAGATCTGGTTTGATTTCTCCCTTGCACCCCCGGGGCCACTCGGCCCAGGCACAATGCCGGGATGTGTTTACACCACGTAAGTGCCGTTTCCTGGAGCCGCTGTCCGTGCCGGGTGATCCCGCCGCAGTGACTCAGCCCCTCTGTCTGCGTAAGCGCTGTCCCAGCACTCAGGTATGTCTGAGCCGAGCCGCGGGGACGGGATCCGCTCCCGGCTCGCGCACATGGTGCAACCACAAACAGTCTCTTGATGGCGGGACACAGCCCATGGCCCCGGGTATGGAGGAGCCGAGTTGGCGGCACAGCCTCTGTGCAGCACTCGAGTCCTGCCTGCCCCCAGCCCTGTTTTGGCACGTGCCGGGGCCAGGAGCTGCGGGAACAGGAGAGGTGCGGTTAGGAAGGGTATGTGGTGCTTCCTCTGGGAGCACGGCAGGCTCAGGACATTCACCCCCACAGCACAGCTGTGCAGACCCTGAGCCGAGCACAGATGCCCAAGGAAGGGTATGACAGGAGAAGGAGGGAGAGGATGCCCACAGGGATCTCCTGGCCCTCAGGAGTGCCTGGCCCTTGCGCCTTGAGGGTATGAAGTGGGCATGTGAATAAACCTGCAGCTCCATTTCACTGGCATGCAGCGCGGTGCCCAGCTGGAGAGCTGCATCTATGGATGTGGGTGATCGCCTGGGAAGGGGTCAGCCCTCCACAACCTTCCCAGAGCCCCTGGCTGTGAGGAGCAGGCTGCACCCAGGCGCCTCGTGCTTCCCAGCCCCTCTGGCACCCGCAGCCCTGCACTGTGGGCGTCATGCCTGGCATCATGCACCATACTCCACCTCTGGGGAACCCCAGCTGCTGGGAAAAGGCTTTCTTTAGGGATCACCCCAGAGCAGAGGGATAGTGAGTGTGCCAGCTCGGGCTGTGGCCATGGCACAGTCCCAGTGACTATTTTGGTGCTGCTCTGCAGGGCCATGGCACACAGGCTGCCAGGAAGCGCCATGGCCTGCCTGGGCACCCGCTGCAGCTATGCAAGGAATGTCCACGCGCACGGGTGGCTGCCCGCCAGGCCCT